GCAGCGTCACTTTATTCTAGTATAACACTATGCATCTGTTCTTGCATAAATATATATATATATATTCTCTTGGATTCAACCCATATTTGATCGCAATTTTATATATATATATATATATATATATATATATATATATATATATATATATTTGTAAAAACAGTAATTTTGTTAAGAAAGGTGAAATGGGGAAAAAAACCTGGGCGTAGATTAATATTTGGGTAATATTCTATGGCAATTTTCCTTCTGAATGAGTTATTTTATTTTTTTTTTAAATCAAAATTATGGTTGAATTTATTTCTATGTATGACCAGTGCATTAGCTAAGGTGTTTTTTGTGAGGTCTCTTTTGTGCTCATAAATGCGTTTTATCAAACTTCTACTTGTTTCTCCAATATATATATATGAATTGCGATCAAATATGGGTTGGAATCCAAGAGAAAGATAGGATAATGAATAAATAGGAAACGTTTCTAAACGTTTCGGTTTTACTACAGCTTCATTAGAAAATGAAATATGAAGGAGAAAATTCTTTTTGGTTTTGTGTTGGTTGTTTTTCATTGGTTAAGCCGACTTCATGCTTATTTGTCCTGTCTAGCAACATTTGTGTGTATAATTCATGAGTGTACGCAAATGAATATAAATTTTCAGCCGAATCACGTATAGACAAAATCGAACGTCGATACACAGACACACATGAATTATACACATCGTCGGCCAGTAAATTTTTGGATGACATGTGAACACAGGTGAGTAGATTTTTTTTTTAAATTAAGTGTCAAATATTAGGGAATAATGTATTAATAGTAAATATATAAATAAAATATTAATAACCTAATAAATCATTTAACTATATATATATATATATATATATATATATATATATATATATATATATATATATGTGTGTGTGTGTGTGTGTGTGTGTGTGTGTGTTTGTGTAAAAGTGTACACAAACTCACATCTATCTAAATAAATATATATATATATATATATATATATATATATATATATATATATTATCCCAGATAATCAAAAGTCGCTGGGAAATACTGACTTCTAACCAGACCTAAAAAAAAATTGTTTGAGGAACCCCGCCTTCTTGCATATCTTAGGCCAAAGAACCTAAAGGAAATTATAGGTAGTAATCACATTTCAGTGGATAAGGTAATTCGTAATAAAGAAAAACAACAAAATTTACACACCCATGTAACAACAAAAGGAGCTTGTGCTGTAACCACATTAGACGCACCAATTCACTCACAAGCTCAGTTACTAAATCCACTTTCAAAATCTACCACGGCTCTAACTCATGACATAATTTACCTCCTAGAGTGCACACTATGCCAGAAACAATATGTGGGAAAATCTGAATGGCCCTTTCACTACAGAATTAATAATTATCGCAATCGAATTAAGTCGACTACTCCCCATGTAGAACAACATTTCTGTCTAGAAAAACATGATTTTAAAACCCATGCCAAATTCACTATAATTGGGAAAATGGAAAAGTTCAGAGCAGATAACATTAGAAAGATTTTAGAAGACCATGAAGATAAGTGATTCTGCGCCTAAAAACACTCCATCCCGACCGTTCTTAATCACAAATTTAACAACATAAATAGAATTAATATATAACCCCACAAATCAGGCCCTACCCATATTTCTCCCACACACAAGACAGTCATGCTTGCGGAGGTATTGACCGCTCACACTTATACACACATGCATACGAATATACACATTTACACGCATTATACTCACTGACTCCCTAAAGAGCTAAATGATAACACACACCCATACTAATATACACACTTCAACACATACTCACTCATTCCATAAAAGTCAAGTAACACACACTTAACAGAGACACATCCCCTTTCCAGGAACCAATAAAACTGTCAAAATGACCAAGGGATTTCAGTGCAGCATGAATCCATCCAGCCCTTATCTTCAATAACAACTTAAAAGAGACTGTTTGACCAACACAAAGACTGACCAAAATTCATGTTAAAAAAAATATAAAAATTAAAAAAAGAATTGAAATTTCTCCATCAAGTCATTCATTTCTGTAGATTACTGCTATTAACAAGCAGGATTTTTTTCTCCTGATGATGGACATTGCAAGTCGAAACTAGTCGAGGAATCTAACTGCAATAATCAAAACGAAAGAATATTAATGCACAATCCAGTGTGTCTGAAGATTTTAATTTTTAATATTTTTTATTTTCAATATATATATATATATATATATATATATATATATATATATAATTATTTTAAAAAAATATGATTCCTTCGTTACATAAGAGTTCTCATGTTTCAAAACGAGAGCCGAAACCATGCACATTTTTGAAAGGCCGAATACAGAGACCTGGTGCACTAAGGGCCACAAGGTCCCCAAACGACCCCATGCAGGTTTGAATTCAGAGTTGTCCTTCTCCTAGACCAGTTGCCATCCAAGGCTATAGAACCCAGTCTGTCCTTCTATTTACCCATAACTGGAGGGAGAAGACAATTCGTAACTTTCCCAAGGATATTAGAACATAAGTGAATGTAATGTATTCGACTGGAATTCGAACTTATATATATATATATATATATATATGTGTGTGTGTGTGTGTGTGTGTGTGTATGTGTGCAGGTATGTAGAAAATTAGGAAAGAACACGAGGGTCTTTATTATTTTTGTTTTTATTTAAAAAAAAAAACAGTGCTCTATGCAGAAGTAGAGCTTAAATTATAATTATTTAAAAAAAAATATGATTCCTTCTCTACATAAGAGTTCTCATGTTTCAAAAACGAGAGCCGAAACCATCAATATAATTATTAAAATTAAATTGAATTAAGGTAACAAGCCCTGTTTCATCCTCAAGCTAAAATTTAGGAATAACCAATTTTGAAATTTACTTATCGTTATAAGCGTGTTCATTCGTTACTATGAAAACGGCTAGGGCGACCATTTTTATCCACATATCAGTCACCTTCAGGGAGAAGTCAAGCTGAGGTTGGAAGGGGTGTCTATTTCAAAGCGAATTATGTCTTTCTTGTACTCGCGTCGTCTGTTCATTCACAGAGAAAGATAGATTTTGGCACCATAGTATGTTGTTAAGTGTCTGGATAATTTTGTTTATTTTATTTGTTTATTTATTTATTTATAACGGACTGTTTCATATATAAATGCGTCGCACTGAACTACAATTTGTTTTGTTTTTTGACAACTTCATAAAGGGTTTTTCCCTTTAATGATTAGGTTAAGCTTTTTAGCCCTTTATTAAACTATGAAATTTGATTTATTATGCTAATTATTAAATGCGAAATTTTGTTGATGTCGGAAAAAAGCCGTTAACTCATGTCTATGGTTTACTAAATTTTAATAGTTTAGAAACTTAATAATGTGTAATTTAGTTTATGTAGGCATAATGTAATTTGTAGTTTAGTTTATGTAGGCATAAAGGGCATGGGTCATCCCAGGTTTTACAAGTTCTTGTTCTATTTATTTTCCATTTTACTTTTGGAGTTTTATTCATTTCTTTTAAATGCCAAAAATATCTGGATAGAGATGTCTGATTTCTACTTCTAATATTATTGAAGGAGCTTTTGTGTTGTCTCCATCTAATTTTAAATTCATTCTTCATTGACCCAATGTATATCCTATCAGTGTTAGGACTCTCAATGGATTTGATAGTGCACTGGTATACTACGGATTTTATAAGGCATTTATTTTCCAACGGACAGTCTTCAGGGTTTCTACAATCACATAATTTTTTCATTAATTTTGTCTGATTTTAAGTTAGGATTTTTATTAATACTGTTTTGGCGCGCGTATGTTTACAGGATTTTATTATTATGTTCTTTTTATGATTCTTTCTAGATTTTCAGTGCAACTGTAACTTAATTTTAAGGTGATTTTATTAAAGATCTCGCTAAGTCAGATATTAGTAGGAAAGTGTTTTTCGATTAAAATTAGGAACTTATGTCATAGCTTAGTACTAACCATTTGGTTGAACGGAGGGGTATACCAGATGATTTTTCTTTTCCTGTTTTTCTTTCTGTTAGTGCTATTGTTTCTATAACTTATGTTAGCATTTCTGTATCCGCTATTTTTTAGGGCTGTGTTATAAAAAATACTATGCTGTCGTATAGGTATATGCTTAATTATAGATGGAGGGTGGTTTGATTTAGGGTGTACATACACGGGATTAGTGTTAGGTTTTCTGTAAGGTAGGTATATGTTGTTCCTTAAGTCTAGAGTTACGTCGAGGAAGTTTACCCTTTTTAATTTAGTGTTGACTATAGCTTTTAAGTTTAGTTTTCTGAATTCACTGTATATTATCTTTCTAATTTTATCTATTTTAAAATTTGTGGAGCTCCTCACCACCATGAGACCGTCATCTCTGTATAGCCCGATGTCCCTAATGTCTAATTCTCGGTACGCAGTTAGATTGTACAGTATAAATAAACCAACAAAGTCAGAAGACTCTGCAGAGTCTATAGATCCCATGGTAATGTCAAAATTGTCATTAGTGTTTTTAATCCATTGGTCCCCATTATGGATGAGGAACGATTTTTTTGCACTAAGAATTATGTTCATTTCTTCCTTAGTTAAGTCAGAATATAGTGTAGAAAACTCCAGGGCAGTCGTGTCTGATAGGGTAGTTTTTAAGCTAGTATTTTAACATGTAAACGTCCGTCTATGGGTTTTCCTTCTTTCCTGTGTCTCTTAGGTTATTTCATATTACCTAGGACCATTTTTGAACAGTGTGGATTAGCACTAAAGAATCACAAAAAGAACTGTACCAAATAACAAAAACCTTCATCACTAGAAGACTTCCAACAGCTGCAAAAGATGAAATGGATAGCATAAGTCGAAGAAAAGGTAATGACATAATCAGCTCACACTACTTCAAGCAAAAAGGTTAGGGAGGAAAACCCAACCTTATAATGGAAAGAACACACTTGATCTAAGTATATATTTTAACGTAACTCTATCATCTGTATACAGCCCTGTTTTAGATCCTTCCACTCGCTTTCTTCCTTACCTACCCCCTATGTTCCGCTTTCTTTCTTTCTTTCTTTCTTTCTTTCTTTCTTTCGTCCGTCCTTCATTCATTCATTCATTCATTCATTTATTCTGTCCCCAATCCTTCTTTTCGGTTTATATCTTCCTTCCTTCCTTCCTTCTTTCCTTCCTTCCTTCCTTAACTATCTCCTTCCTTCCGCTTTCTTTCTTTCTTTCTTTCTCCCGTCTTTCATTCATTCATTCTTTATGTCCCCATTCCTTCTATTCACTTCCTCCCTTCCTTCCTTCCTTCATTCCTTCCTTGATTCATTCATTAATTCATTCTTTCCGTATTTACACTCACTTTCATCCTTACCGCTCTCCTTTTTCCGCTTTCTTTCCTTCTTTCTTTCCTTCTTTCTTTCTTTCTTTCTTTCTTTCTTTCTTTCTTTATTTCTTTCTTTCTTGCGTCCTTCATTCATTCATTCATTCATCCTTTCTGTCCCCATTCCTTCTATTCCGTTCCTTCCTTCCTTCCTACCTACCTACCTTCTTTCCTTGATTCATTCATTAATTCATTCTTTCCGTATTTACACTCACTTTTATCTTACCGCTCTCCTTTTTCCGCTTTTTTCTTTCTTTCTTTCTTTCTTTCTTTCTTTCTTTCTTGCGTCCTTCATTCATTCCTTCCCCCCCTTTCGTTCTTTTCGGTTTATACTTTCCTTCCTTCCTTTTTTTCTTCTTTCCTTACTTCCGTTTTTTTTCTTTCTTTCTTTCTTTCTTACTTTCTTTCTTTCTTTCTTCCGTCCTTCATTCATTCATTCTTTTTGTCCCCATTCCTTCTATTCGGTTCCTTCCTTCCTTCCTTCCTTCATTCATTCATTAATTAATTCTTTCCGTATTTACACTCATTTTTATACTTACCACTCTCCTTCCTTCCGCTTTCTTTATGTTTTTTCTTTCTTTCTTTTTTCCTTTTTTACTTTCTTTCTTTCTTTCTTTCTTTCTTTCTTCCGTCCTTCATTCATTCATTCTTTCTCTCCCCATTCCTTCTATTCCGTTCGTTCGTTCCTTCCTTCCTTCCTTCCTTCCTTCCTTCATTAATTCACTCTTTCCGTATTTACACTCACTTTTATCCTTACCGTTCTCCTTTTTCCGCTTTCTTTCTTTCTTTCTTTCTTTCTTTCTTTCTTTCTTTCTTTCTTTCTTTCTCTTGCTTTCTTTCATTCTTAATTTCTTCTTTCTGTCTTTCTTTTTCTTCCTTTTTTATTTATTTCTTTCTTTTCCTTCCTTCCGCTTGCTTTTTTTCCTTCCTTCCTTGCTTTCTTCATTTTTCTCACTGCCCCCCACCCTTCCTTGCTTCCATCCTGCCTTTACTCCTTTTCGCTTTCTTTCTTTCTTTCTTTTTTTTCCTTTCGTGTTTTTTCGGATTATATCTTCTTTCCTCCCTTCTTTTCGCCATGTTTAATCTTTCGTCATTCTTTAATCTCACACCTTTTTATTCTCGTCACTTTTGCTTCCCTTGAAGTTTTCTTTGTACCGCCTACAAAGAGAAGAGAAGAAAGATGAAATGATAAATCATTCTATCTTTCTTCTCTTCAAATAATAATTATCCTACTGCTTCTTTTAAATCGTTTTTCTTTACCCCTTTTCCCTTCATTTTTATCTTCGATTTATTATTGACTAGCAGCATGGCCCGGCGTTGACCGTGCTTGATTCAAAAATCGTACGACTCATGCAGCAATCGCTATCACTTGACTTAAAATATTTTTGCCCTTCCTTGCCTTTAAAGGAGTGCCCTTTGCCGTGCTGATGTTGCTACATGCCTTACTTCTTGCCTATCTCACACTGCGAATTTTTTCTAAGCTCTATACTAAACATTAAATATGTTACGAAAAAAGAACTAAACAAAATGAACACAAAGAGATCAGCTTTAAAAAAGGACTCGTAACTGGAAAAACCGAATGAAAAAAGAATGTTAACAACAAATACTTTTTCACACCTAACCCAGTTCTGCGGAATCAGAATCAACGTTGAGTTTAAGCAAGTGAATGAGCCAATTGGAGTAAAGTGCCATGTAGATTTAAATTTTTCCCACTTGTGACGAATGCAGCTATCGATTTTTTTGCATACTAGCATGCTAGTTAACATTCGTGTCAGTCAGCTGTTGGCTCTCACGCTGGCCAATAGAATCTTCCTGCCTATTCGTGGCAGCCAGCTATAGGCTCTCACTCTGGCCAGTAGAAAATGGCCGCAAACTACATGAAAACTGCCGTAGAAGCATAAAAAAATCGATTATTTCCACTATCGATGGGAGTTGGGAAATGCAAAGTCGGTGTTGGCCTTTCCCGCTAACTTGGAGCATGTGCATGTAAATTTTGGTGCAAATCCGTCGAAAATTGCGGCCGTGCATTCGTTATATACACGCGCGCGCGCGCGCACGCGCGCGCACACACACACACATACACACACACATCCTGCCTTTTATAGATAGAGATATTATTTTCCCATTTCTTTAACCTTATCTCCGGTCTTTTATTTTTTTTGTTATTATTCCTTGCTTCTTTCCTCTTTTTATTTTCTTTTTTCTTGTATGGTCATTCTAAATGCCATGTCACTGCTTTATTTCTTTCTTTCTTTTCTCTTTTTTTTCTGTCGTCTGCTTTAAGCAATAGTCATCTTTTTTCTCTCAATAATATTTGTTCCGTCGCTTTCAAATGTTCTTCATAAGTTTGATTTCTTTACCTCTTTTTTTCCTAATCTCTCCTAATTTAAACATCCTTTTGTACACTTTCGAACATCTTTTTGCATTTTTTAAAATTTAATTTCACATTACTTTCCTTTAAACTATTTCTCTTTTTACTGATTCCATCAGCTCATTCCAGTGCAATCTCATTTCATCCAGCTATGCCTCAAATGTATAACCAACTTTTTTCATTCATTCGTCCTTTATCTTATTGTCTAATTTCTTTCTATCATTTTCTCTTCAAATATGTCTTTCATTTAACGTTTATTCAGATTTAAGACATAAAACTTCCATCAATTTATTTCCCGCTCTTTTATCCGACATTTTTTTTTTTTCTTAGTTTTCCTGACCTCATTCCATCTACGTTCTGGAAGATCCTCGGTGCCTTCCTCGACTATCTCTAATCACAGAATTATGGAAAAATTATGAAAAGGAATAATAAAAAAAAAAATCAGATATTCTTCTTTTTATCCGATTTTTGCAGACAAGAAATCACTGTCGATTATAGGTGACTTTTACTGCAATATTTTAACCCCCCACTCCTCCCAAATTCTTCTTCAAAAGATCTCTTTTCTGTCTTTGCCCGAGAGGAAATTTTCCATAATTCCTTTTTCTTTAGATCTGTCAAAAAGGAAAAGAAAAAAATTCAAATTTTCTAACACTGAATTTTTGTACTTAAAGCCTTGCCAATTTTTTTAAAAAAATTATTGCCATTTTTTTATTTCTTAATCTTTTTACGGAATTCTTCAATATCTTTTAGGCTCCTTTTATGGATTTCTGCTGCGTTATATCTCGCGTTCTATTTCTTTCTTTTCCTTCTTTCTTTCTTTCTTTCTTTCTCAATATTCCCACACTTTCTTTCTTTCTTTCTTTCTTTCTTTCTTTCTTTCTTTCTTTCTTAATATTCCACATATTCTTTGTTTTACTTTATTTCTTAATATTTACACGCATTTTTTCTTTCTTAATATACCTGGGTTGCTTGCTTTCTTTCTTTCTTTCTTAATATTCCTACACTTTCTTTCTTTCTTTCTTTCTTTCTTTCTTTCTTTCTTTCTTTCTTTCTTAATATTCCACATATTCTTTGTTTTGCTTTATTTCTTAATATTTACACGCATTTTTTCTTTCTTAATATACCTGGGTTGCTTGCTTTCTTTCTTTTTTCTTTCTTTCTTTCTTTCTTTCTCAATATTCCTACACTTTCTTTCTTTCTTTCTTTCTTTCTTTCTTTCTTTCTTTCTTTCTTTCTTTCTTTCTTAATATTCCACATATTCTTTGTTTTGCTTTATTTCTTAATATTTACACGCATTTTTTCTTTCTTAATATACCTGGGTTGCTTGCTTTCTTTCTTTTTTCTTTCTTTCTTTCTTTCTTTCTTTCTCAATATTCCTACACTTTCTTTCTTTCTTTCTTTATTTCTTTCTTTCTTAATATTCCACATATTCTTTGTTTTGCTTTATTTCTTAATATTTACACGCATTTTTTCTTTCTTAATATACCTGGGTTGCTTGCTTTCTTTCTTTTTTCTTTCTTTCTTTCTTTCTTTCTTTCTTTCTTTCTTTCTTTCTTTCTCAATATTCCTACACTTTCTTTCTTTCTTTCTTTCTTTCTTTCTTTCTCAATATTCCTACACTTTCTTTCTTTCTTTCTTTCTTTATTTCTTTCTTTCTTAATACTCCACATATTCTTCTTTTTTCTTTTATTTCTTAATATTTACGCATTTTTTTCTTTCTTAATATACCTGGGTTTCTTGCTTTCTTTCTTTTTTTTCTTTCTTTCTTTTTCTTTCTTTCTTTCTTTCTTTCTTTCTTTCTTTCTTTCTTTCTCAATATTCCTACACTTTCTTTCTTTCTTTCTTTCTTTCTTTCTTTCTTTCTTAATATTTTCATATTCTTTTTTTTTCTTTATTTCTTAATATTTACATTTTTTTTCTTTCTTAATATACCTGGGTTGCTTGCTTTCTTTCTTTAAATTTTCTTTCTTTCTTTCTCAATATTCTCTACACTTTCTTTCTTTCTTTCTTTCTTTCTAAATTTTTTTCTTTCTTTCTATTTATTCACATATTCTTTGTTTTCTTTATTTCTTAATATTTCTACGCATTTTTTTTCTTTCTTAATATACCTGGGTTGCTTGCTTTCTTTCTTTTTTCTTTTTTCTTTCTTTCTTTCTTCAATATTCTTAATATTTTCTTTCTTTCTTTCTTTCTTTCTAAATTTTTCTTTCTTTCTTAATATTCCACATATTCTTTGTTTTCTTTATT